CACTTTTCACAACTCCACACTGCTGTGTGCATCCAGACGTGCTTTGAGTTTGCTAGCGTGAAAGTTACTTATAGTTCACACATGAAAATGGAATTTTGTACTTGTCTGTTCAAAGTTTCTACCTTTACTAAGCTTAGCGTTGATAAGCTAGGGAATTCTCAATTGTCAAACCAATCTTCAGTTTAAATAAAGGCGGAGAGTAACTAACTATCGATTCACCTCATTTTTATGAAAATGAATGGAACAAATTACTTCAGTCATGAAATGGCACATTGCTCGGAAATAGAATTGGGCAAAAAAGATGAACAACTGGTGGTGTCAGATAAAAGTTTTATCACAAACTTTATTTTACAGAATTGACAAGATGGAAACTAACAATAATTCAGCTGCAACTATTATTGTCGCTATGAAATTCACAAAGTCATCTTTTTATCTATTTTTGTTGGAACATCTAGTGTGCCCGAAGGTCATTATAAAGTAATAAAGCTTTATTTGTGATTTTATTTATATTTAGCATGGAATAAGATTTTCGGCAGGAAAGCCTTCACTGCCACCGAAACCGCGACGTGAAAGAGATAATATTGAGGTAAAAACTTCAATGTTGACTACGATGTTCCAGTGTACAAGCAATTGTGTTTACATCACAGTTTTCCAATTTGACTCAATCCGAGCTGCATCGCAGCGACCACGATGACAACTTTGTGTACTTTTTGATGAGGCCGCTAAATCTAAGCATTTATGTTTGCTGATTCGTGATCTGTAACCCCCATCCTTAAAATATGCTGTGTCCATAGGCATGTTTCTAAAGCAAACCAATAATCTGACAGCGCAAAAAACGGAGAAAAGATACAATAATTACGGAATCACTTCTTTGCACGAGAGACTTGCAGTTCTCGTTCTTTTGCTAATTTTTATTTCGTAAACCCTTAAACGAAACTATTAAAGTCCAGTACTCGAAGAAGCGATTAGACGTGCACATTTCTTGTGGACTGGTTTTAAAAAGACAGAGAGAACAGTCATAATAATAGGTGTTTGGTATATTATGCAGTGGATTTTTTACATTTTATTCATAATCATCTGTATTGGTTCAAATTTTGCAGCTGTTCGAAATATGTATTTCGCCGTAAACGTTGGAATTGGATGAATTTGTAGACCGCTCCATGTTGGTTTACGAAAAATCGAACGACCTAACTATCCATTTGGTCCCTTCTTGAGGTTAACATAGTAAAACTAACTGATTGACGGGTGAGCTCGGTTATAATGATATAATAGTATGTTGGGTAAAAAAAGGTGACCGGAAAAGATGAAAATGTCGTCCACATAACGGCAGCATAATGGGAGTTGATGAATGATGTTCCGCAGTCTCTACACACTGGCTACCAACCACAAACCTAGGCAAATGAGAAGAAACTCTGGGCAATAATTCCCTCTTTATCACTGAAATAATTTGTAATGAATATACACTTTACCGACCAACCGAAAACGGATACCACTCGAAAATAAACAGTATTGTATAGTCAAGTATTGCACTGTGTTTTAAAGTATGTATGATATATACTGTGTGGTAGTGGTCAAGATGTTTACGTCGGTGTCACTGGCGTGCTTTAAGTTTTAAGTTTCGTCATCTTACATTAGTGGTAACCGGCCTCACCGTCATTCAGCTCGTTGCCGTATCTATGCTGTTTGGGCCTTATGAGGTTCACCACTCCAAATCCAATGAGCAAAAGCATATATCACCAATGTAGAAAATATCATTCAACAACAACAACAACAAAAATCCTAAAATGGAACACGGGTGACATCTGTAGAGAGAATGTAATCAGATTCAAATGGGCACTTGAAATACAGTTCTAATCATAGTTTAAATAAATGTCAAGGTTTTCTTCCCTCATTCGCAATTGTTCACTTATTCCCTTGACAACCTCTGCAACCGGTTGGACGTTAATATCGTTTTTTTCTCATTGTGATACCGAAGGTCAATGAAATAACATTGTTAAATCTTCACATGTTCCTGTCCTATCCCCAAAAGACGTAAACAACCACAAAGAGGTGTTTATCTAGGCTGGGATTAAAAAACAAAGACAAACGAATAGCAGTTTCTATGGCAATGGTACGAAGCGGTTTCGACAGGTTTAGAAAAATCGCTAAATCACACTAATTTGGCTCCCGACCACCACACTGGGATAATCATCAATATCAATGCATCATATCAAGTAGAAATGTTATCACATACAAAAGATCAGTCCAGTCAGGCATGGTCAAAATCAAATGATGAAAAGACAAAATTAACCTTACTGTCTTCATTATGTATCACGTGCACCACGAAAAACTAAACTTATGGAACGGTCCACGAGCTAGGAATATATTGGAAGATTAGCATGATTTGAAACAAGGTGCAACAGGAAATTAGCAACACAAAGTATTAGCCCGAGAAAACACAAAAACAACAAACACCACCAGAGCTAAATAATTTCCTTGAAACTCCATTGCCCGTTGGATATATAAGTTTTACTTCCATACCCACTTGTTCCTTGAGGTGGATGATTCGGTTGCAAATGTCTCATTGTCCCTTCATGTGGTATAATAACTGCCTGAGCTCGCTTTATGCTGGCCCTCTGTTTCTTCAGCTTGTTCGACCTGATTCTGTTAATTATCTCTATTTTCGGATTGCGAACAGACCAGTAGCCTGGATGGGATTTCAACCCATGAATAGAATACCTACGCGTGCGTCCAGCGCAACCACATCCACAACGACAACAAAGAACTTTCCACAAACTTATCTCACTTACAGAGAGATATGGAATCCAGCAATTAGCAGGCAAGCTGTTTCTTTCTCTCAGGTTTTCCGTAGGATCAACCGTACTTCACTGAAAGAACTCTGATGTTAATTTATTCAAGCAAATTATGTTGTTCGAAGATACAGAAAGACACTATCCAGGCATGAGACTACCACCTTGCTTTGTTTGCCAATCAGCATAAGTTCCATAATTATCCCAATGTTGTTTCTATCCCAGTCTAACACTGACCTTGTTCAATAAATGGTTTTCATCCATACTAAATTATAGTTGTCCACTATTCGTTTACGGCATGATCCTCTTGCTCATGTCGTCCCGGAGCTGTGTTTACGCGCACCAGTATGCACAAAGACAACGATTCAATAAGGTATGCGTTCACTGAGGCGTCAGAAGAATGCTCAAATAATTATTTCTTTTGTTCCGGCAGGTTATATGAATGGAGAGGAATGAATGAAGGTAAAACTCACCATGCTGGCGTCGTATCAATCATGACAGAACGTGCTCGCCTTGATTGTTCTAAACAAATGACTTGGTAACTAACTAGGACGTAGATATATGATCTAGTTTCATTTTTTTTATCTTGAACTATCCGTTCTTTTCATCAAATTTTTCGGACGGTGTTTCAACGCTCAGATACTTTTTTGGCTCACACTAACACTCATGGATTTATTTAGGCATGGACACCAATAATTTTTCATAACGTGTGTCTTCTACATCACAGGTCATTTTGTTTATTGTTCAGAAGAGAGAGGGCTAAGGTAGCTATTGTGTGGAAAAAATTTACTATGAATGAGCAGATACAATTTTGCGAACTACAATTATTTCTACAGATGCAAAATTTTTTTTGAGTTCACTCACAGCACTCACAGTCAGGGTTTCGATTTCACCACAAACATATTCAGTTGAACTTGGTTATCTCATTTATTTGTAGAAGTCGCGCAGTCATGATCAACTCTCCTGAAGTCAACTTTCGATGAGTTCGTCCGGAAAATCGATAATTCCTATTTGACTTGGATGCCATCTGTTGATCCACTCAAACAAAATCACAGATGAGCAAAATTCTCACGACTCGTTGTTCGTTTAATTCAGTTGACTGCTGTTCCATATTTCAGCTTTTCCGCCTAACGTATGCAGTCATTCGCGCTCCGCTTATTTGCTCACATGGCGTGGTTAATTTGTGTGTTACGTAGTCCTCATTCCACTGCCTTTATAACACTGATGGATGAAGGACAGTCTTGTTCATTTAGTTGACGGTCGCTCATCTACTAATCTAGCTCAACAAAAGGATTGGCAAGCAACAGATGAACGCATATTTGGAGTAATCTGAATTAACTTGAATATAAAATGGCGATTTCTTTGGTAATCATTCTGAAATTGATGGAGCAGTTCACGATTTCAAAACACAACTTACTTGAGCTCATCTTTTGTGAATGGGACTCACATATGCCCCCATGACTCAACTATGCTCAATTATGGTGTAATTGACTCAACCTTGGTCAGTACATTGAACGTTACATTCAACAAATCGATCGACTCGACTGATGGACGTTTGTTGCCCCCATTAGCGGAACTTCTATTCATCTGTTTTCAACCAGCCTTGTCTTTGATATTAGTAGATAGTTCTATGATGTAATCAGAAAGCTTTTATTTCACATATTTGAGTTTCATTTGAGAAACCTTTGATAATTTTGTCAGGGATTTAGACTCCAGATACATCTGTAATACCTTTGAAAACATGGATTCCCTACTACCTCAGCTACCACAGATGCAGCAACAATTATGTTCTAGTCAAACTAATCATACTTCTGTGTTATTTCAAAAATGGGTTTGGATAAATTGATTGTCTGTTGGTGAGGACACAGCAGCACGGATTTTTTGTGCATGATTGCCGTCCTCGCCGCTCGTGTTCTCCATTTATACGAATATTAACACATGCAGTCTTTAGTTGATTGCAGTTTCTTCTTGAAACTTTGCTTCTCAATTGTAGATATAATAAATAAAAGCAATATACCAACGTGATCTCTATTGGGTTATAGTAGCAGTTTGTGTAATAGCAATTCCTCACATTAATTCGACCTCGTTCGTTTCGCCAGATGCTCAGTGGTTTAATAACTCATTCAGAGCTCGATTGGCAAGCGCCTGTTAAGAATGGATACTGGTCTAATAATGGAGTATTTGTAAGAAGATCTACAGTTAATCACTAATATGACATTTGGCAACCTTTGGATAACGGACCCGGAATTTGCCAAATGTATTCATCCACAGTGGCGCCGATTCACCCCGCCAGATCCGATTTACAACTACCTGGTCGGTATTTATGTCGGCCTGATGGGTGTGATCGGAATTGGTAGGAATTTGGTCACCATTATTCTGTTCATTGTGTACGTCTCCTAATTGCTCGTATCCCTTTTGCACTGGTTAACCTTCAGTTTACCCAAGAAGTATTCAAGACATTCCTTCTCGTAATTTATTTATAGCAGGACAGTCATATTCTGCGCTCTGTGAAATATAAATTCATAGGTTTTGGTATCTCCCTTCACACAGCTACGCTCATCATAATAGTTTCGCATAACTCTACATAGCTAACCTAATCAATTCGCATTCACATAGTTATATTTGCATGTTTTATTTATAAAATGAACAATTAAATTATGTCAATCAAACAGAGCTCGGATGTTTTCAATATTAAGAAGTATTTATCTAACATTTTTAACGTAACCAGTCAAGATGCATTTCTGAATATTTTTACTGTTCTCGAAACCGCTATCCCATAGCTTATCAACCTTTGACTAAAATGCAGCTTCGAGGGTCTTACACGCCAACTGTGACATTGAAATTAACGTGTAATCTTATCACACCAAAATGTCATAAATAGATTTGATGGTTTTGATTGATTCAAGGTGCAAAATCTGATCATAATAATGAGCGAAAATGGAAAATATGAAGATTACCGCACTGTATCCATTTTTTACATCATATAATCACCTATGTGGAAAGTTAATGAAATCCATTACTACGAGAAAACTGGACTTCAAAAATCGTCACAAACTAGGAGAGTAAAATGAAACTGAAAATAAACAAACACGTGACAAGATGAACCCAACACAATAGCCTTACGCTCATCCACCCACCCCTAATCCACGAATAAGGGGCCAAAGAACACGTTGCAAATTCTTTTTCACGTGAGCGCTTCGTTACAGGCCGGCCTCCAAGTTATACAATGGTTAATACTTGTATCTCCGCTGATTTGGAGAATATTCAATATTTTTAGCCTATGCATTCATTCCAAATTGCAAGTGGAAAGGTCCTTCCCACTCATGGCGTTGTTAGTGCTAAACCTATCGCTTTTTCATCTGCCGTTTGTTCCGTACTATATATATTCACCTTAGTGGACAGTGATTTAAACTTAATTTTAACCATTTGGTGACAACACTTTCCCCAAACGTTGAGCTAATTTGTCACATTCCAAGCATAAACATTATAAAATTCATTAGTATCCCACAATTTTGAAGGCGGACTTTTGAGATATCTTCAAATCGACGAACCGAATAGTCTCTCTTTCAAAGAGCGAGAACAGAATGGTGCTTAATATTCTGTAGACGATCGAAGTATGCAGGGAGAAAATTTATATTTCGTTATGAATAAATTTTATATCCAAAAAGCCACCAGCAACTTGTGAAGATATCAATGTTTCCATTTTTAATATTTGACTAGCGAAACCCCATACGTTCCTTCAATGAATTCCTCATTAGACTGTAAGTAAGTTCACTGGTTCTACTATGTCCAATCGACGTTTATTTAAGTGAGAATTTAGTGGAAAAAACTCGAGTCTGGTTAGAGGAAAGATGATATGTGGAAGTTTAGGAACACTTTTCACAGATATATTCTGATTTCTGTTCAGCAACAAAACAATTATTGTTTATTTCTCAATCGTGACATCCACAGTTGAATCCCCTATTTTTGTTGGTAGATGTGCAGTGTGAAAATTTCATTGAAGTACTTCATCAACAGTGCTATGGATTTGCATAAGTGTCAATCCTACGCATTATTATTATTAATAGATTTCCGTTGAAAACGATAGCCCCATTCAATCAGCATTCGAGTTGGGGTAAGATAAGTGAGTGCATTTGACAAAAGAAATTATTCTTCTTTCAGCCGGAAATGTTTACAAACTATAAACAATCAAATTGACGAGGATCTCGTCACTCTTTGCCACATTTTGATAATTATTAGCCATGTTTCTCTTATTCCTATAAATGCTGTAATCACAAAATTGTGTGATTTTCATATTACTTTAAATGAGAATTTCTCTCATAAGATACTTAACGGCCCAGTCATTCGCTCAATCCTGACCGAGCTGTCTGCCATTACAATGATGCTACCCGATCCACTTATCACTGCTTATCCGCCCTAATTAACATTTATAGTAACTCAACAGTGGCTTGCATCCCAACTGAGAAGAAGGTCCCAAACGAATTAGAGATCTGAAACGACGATCTTTTGTTTACGTTTTATCATCGTTGTATACGACTTCTTTCATTTTGTATCCCTTTCAAGTGGCGATATTTTTTAACTGAAACGTCGGCTTATTTGCTTGCGCAAGTCCTTACAACACAATGCAATAAATTAAAAGAACAATAGTTTTACTATCGGAAAATCAATACTTTTGTCGTTGTCCTAATGTTTGCATGTAGTGTAGCGTGTGGTGATAATTACTATGTTTTGAGCAGAGAGGCAATGCGGACCTTATACGTCTGCTCTCATGAAGGATACAAAACTGTGCATCAGCAAATTTCTATCTAAATGTGACGCTAACAATACTGAAGAAGAAGAATCTTCGCTTAAATGGAAGACCTTCATTGTAGTGATCCATATGGTCAACTGGAATTTGCATATAGTAGCTGAATCAGTAAAATGATTTAATTCAAGGTTTTAACTGAGAGTAAGGGAGCTATCGATTTCATTTTTACGCGGAATGATGAAGTTTCAATGTCATGAGTCTGTAAGTCTTATATAGATGAAACTAGGAATATTGCTGTGTAATAAAACAAAATAACTTTGGAAACAAATTGGTCCGTTAAACTGGCCACTGTGTAAGTCTCCTCTTAATCCAGTAATCCAGAACTATAGAGTAAACTATTTTTCTGAGCTGCAAAACCCACCGTTTCGAATAAATTAGTTTATCATCGAGACTTTAAGCTTGTTTCAGATCAACCAATTCCGTAAGTGAAATTGTTTTCTTTTCATTACAGTAATCAACCCACTAATTGAAAAAAGGCTCTGGAAAATGATTCATGATCGCAAGTCAAAGCTAAATATCACTGCTTTTTATCGATGCTTTAGGACTATCGTGTCATCCGCGCACGCATGCATGAATGACTCAGAACGTCAGTATCTTCTGAGCACATTTGGCCTGAAAAAGACTCAAATGTATGGATCTTGTTGCAACTTATTTATTCAGAATGACAGACACATTGAAGGTGAAAAATCATGCTCCATCTTTCCCTTGCAAAATCTATCTTTCAGGACTTATATCTCAAGAAATATGCGCGGTGAATTGTCCATCAAAATGATTACGCGGAATTGTATTGCATTAATGATTTATCAATCAAATTTTACGGTGAAAATATTGATTTTACCTTCCATATTTGAAAAACATTGTAGTCCTCTCATTAGGCACTACCTTTTAGCCCATGCACAGGCTGCTTCTTTTGAGGGGGGGGAAGGTTTCCGTTCGTAATCCACAAAACACTCATTTATCTTTGCCTCTCCACAAAACAAATCTAAATTTAACAATAGTTAATTACCTGATCAATCGATAAATCATTGAGAGTTTGTCTAAGGGAATTTTAAAATGTTGGTCTATTCTGTTTTCTGAATCTCACTTTCGTCATACACGCGGTTTGCCTAAACTACCGTACGCCTTTTTCAACCTTTGAGTGTTAATTTAGTCTAACTGAAGTTATGCAGGACGGGTTAAGACAAAACCTCCTTCAGTTTTGTAACAAACCAGTGTTCTATTCAGTGGATACAAACAAAACCTTGAACCAGAAAAGCAGATACACGCTTTTTGGTGTACAAACATTCTCAGAGATATATTTGTTATGACGGTACATATATTGTTCCTGAAAAGGAATGTGTAAATTTTCCTCAGCTAAGAAACAAAAATTTGTGTGACAGACATAAAATGGAGGCTAACGCATTACAAACTAACCAGTAGCGAGTTTCTTCACTAATTATATCTCCGTTCAAGTTTTATAGTGGCATTTATTTCGGTAACAGTTCTACTAATTCTTCGTAATCTTTCCTTTGTCTCCCACATCTTTATCCGTCTTCGAATATCAACGTTTATTTTCAAATTCACGTCCGACACTTAATTTTTAGAAAACTTTCATTTATACATCTGTTCATGTGTCGTGGTTATTAATAAGCTTCATCGATAAGAAGAAAATTTTCAACCTACATACGCCCGTACTCCATCAATTTGCAATCATTTCCTCACACTCCAATTGCAGTTGTGAGTGCTTATCGGATTGATGCTTACCACCTTAACTGAGGTATCCGTATGGGGACATATTCCTGTCGTTACACCTTTGTTCACTGTTCACATGATTAAGCATTATGACAAATAATTAACTGATACACGTAGTTTGGCTTCAGCGGCTAGTATTGCGCGCATTCACCATAGTTTTCTTCACAAAACAATTAGGCTTGATTCACAATAAAGGTTGCACGTACTTGTATTGTGTAAGAACGTTTTGTTATTTTGTATGAAAACTAGAGCATGATTCTGACCAAAATCATGAAAGTATGCGACTGATCAGCTAAGCTGTTTAATTTATTAGTACATGGTTGTTACATGTTTTATTCTATTGAAGAACAAAGTAGCTAATGGGCATGAACGTTGGTTTTCTATGAAAATATTGATTTTCTCATAAATACTATTAATAATACGTTTCTTCTTTTTATTTCACTAAAAGTGAAACAATAAATATTCCAAACGGTAGAAGTGACAAACTAAATTCTTTTAAGCTACAGGAAGTGGTGATGTCAGGTTTCGGAAACATGATCTACCACAGTATTGATAGTGGCCTACAGCCCCTAGATATGACCGCGAATCGTGTTGTGCTAACTTGAGCTTATGCCACAAGATTTGTGCGTTTTTTCTAATTCACAAAGGCATATACTGCTTTTTCTTCTGACAGTTAAATATTTCTTCATTATTTGGTAATTTCATCTTTTAGCCAGTTGTATTCCGGAAGGATTTCACACATCTTGCACATTCGATTATCTGTCTTCCGATCTGGGGAATCTGCTGTTCAACGCCGAAATGTATTTGTTTGCTTTCATCTGCCCCGTCGCTGTGATCATATTCAGTTACGCTCAGATTATCAAGGCCGTGCATGACAGCGAGAACTTTAGGGATGTGAAGTGTTCAAGACGTCATCGATCAAACGCGCCATCAAGCGATGCTAGTAAGTGTCCGTTACGCATTTCTGTCCATGTGTTCTGTCCGCTATTAGCGTGCACATGCACTCCGGATCCACATACAGGCACAAAATCCGCATACATATGCGCCAGTATAATTATGACAAATGTTCCGCCGGCAGTTATGAGGTTGGTAATGAGCTGATTATCATGAAACTATCCCTCAGTTTAACAATGTGTTGCACACTTTATAGGACATTCAACATCAACAACGGCGACTGCGCGATCAGATATTCAAACTGTTTAATTCTCGGCAATGTTGTGTGTTCTACCTGAATTCATGGTGACCGTACGCGTTCATCTGTTTTGTTTCGTTGCTCGGGCATCGAAAACATTTGACCCGATTCACAGCCAAAATACCAATGTTGTGTGCAAAACGTTCCTGCATGTTTAATCCAAATGTCCACGCACTGACCGGGAATTGTTGTTAGGCCTCGGAAATTTCGGATTCTCTCGTTGCAACAAACAAGTCATTCGTTCGGATGCAATAAGGTTACTCTTGTTTACCGGAAACGCGTACCTAATGAATGAAAACTGTTGCATGTGAAGAAAAACAGATTAGCCGGAAAAGATTGTTTATTTTAAGCTACACTCTAAGTTAAACCTAAAGGGTTTATCACTAGGAAACGATACAAATGAAACAAACTCTAAGTACTCTCTGATACTTGAATATGGATCAGATTGTAAAAAACATTTCGGGTTTTGTATATATTTTGATGATGATAGTCTTGGAAACTCAACTCATTCTCCTTATAATGCCGTTCCGGAATGACAAATTCACACATACTTTTCAACCCCTTGCAAACCTCTGGACGCAAAGTTCTTGGGGGTTATTTTTAAGTTTTAAGTTTTAACTGACAGGAATGACATTCAAGAATGAACTTTCACCGAACCTTAGTGGTTCAAACTTGCATTTTATAAATCCATACTTTTACAGTTTCGTTTTAGGTGCCTCTGACATTTTCCCAAGGTGAAAAGCTTGAGACACGTAATAAAGCCCGTGCATGCGTTATAAAGAGATCCAACGGATTACATTAACGAGCTTGTTAGCGATGACTTATCAACTGACTAATATGTCACGTTTTACATAACATCATTTTGTATAGAAAAGAGGAAACAAAATAAATGATTACGCAAATGTGGATTATTATTGTTTTTTTTTCTGCCTCAGCTTCACAAACCGGAAATGACTTATCTTACCCCGGGATCACACGCCTGTTTCGTGTTACTTGTGTGATGTGGGGTGAGATTAGGAGAAGGAGGAGGTCCATGGTACGTCGAGTGACTCAAGAAATTGTTTTCAGTTCAGAAAAGCGAATAAAGTCTTCCTCCGGGAAACATTACCGTGTAATGGAACAACCGGTGTGGAAGAATGCAGGTTGTCCCAAATTTAGAAAATACATTTAAGGGAACGTTAAACTTTTAAGCCTAAAAGCTTAGAAGGATAATCTCAAACCCTTGATGACAATTTTTTCAGCATATTTGGACTAAGAAAGGTTATGTGACAAATTAACTCCAAGATATTCGATAGTCAACTTCGGGGATGAAATCACCATAAACAGCAATATCAGTCAGGTTGCTAATAAGGGTTTGGTAGTGAGTGACTGTTTGTCGACATTGAGCAACAAATTGATTGGGGCGTAGGTTAATTAAAAATTGTGTTTAGACAATCGTGAAGTTAGCGAAAAGAGTCAAAATCATTTGAGGGACAACCAACCACGACGTCATCGACGTACTTGCACGCGATAAAGTTGGGAGAAATAAGGTTATTAATGTACAGTGAAAAGGCAAATGAAGACGAAATAGTACCCTTAAAAGCCACGCAGTTAACTTCTGGCTTGGAGGAACAGTTACGGTTACAAAACGTGAATTTAGTCCTAGGTGAGAGGTAAGTGGTTAGTAGATTCAACACATCAGGTGCCGGACCTCAATCCGAAAGACGTTAAATGAGAGTACCTCGGTCAAATGATCCGAAAGAAATTGGCATAATCAGCAAAAATTACACGGACTATACCTGTAGCTCCATTTAATGAGGATGAAACTGAGTGAACAACGTGAGCAATAGTATCAAGAGTGAAAAGCGAAGGTTTGTAAGCAAATTAAACGGGGTCTTGAGTAGAAGATAAACGGATCATCCGGTTTAGAAGCACCCTTTCGAAAACTTTTAACAGCGCTGATGTGTAAGCAGTCGGTCGGAATATGCAGGATCATTTTGAGGGAATTGGTGTTATCCGGGAGCTTT